GGTGTAAGAAACACAAGACTCAGAACAGAGATTAGGGGGACCAGGCTGTGAGTGTCCCTGCCAACAGGAGTCCCACAGTGAGGTGGCTGAAGGACACTGTATTCACTGCAGACAGCTGGATGGTAACACAGCTCGTCAGCGAGACCCTCACGGCTGTGGGACAGCTGGGTGTGATACCGCAGGGCTGTACCCTCTCTGCCCGCAGCGTCTCACCCAATTGCTGTCAGGACGCCAAGGTGGTGTGGAGACCGAGCGTAAGATCCCCATTTTTCTGACTGAACATCGGTTTCCTGACACACAGGTTTTTGAAGATGCTGAGTACAAAAACTGACATTTTAGCCAATATTTTTACATTCATAATGGACTAAACTTGAAAATTCTGGGAAAAAGCAAAGAATTATTTTAAAGGCATTATTGTTATGGAGCCCAGTTTTTAAATTGTTTGATCTATCTACTATGTGTTCTCAATGTTGTTGCCACTTACTGTAGGGAACATTATTAATAAAGGAAACTCTAAGAAAAACTTACAAATATTGTAAGTTTTAGCCCACTTTGCCCACGGTAAGGCCCAAGGCACCTGAGAAAACCCAGCTAAGGTAATCAAAGCTGTCTAGGTGACCTGCAACTGATTGCAGGTGCATGAATGAAGCCACTGAACTCAGCTGAACTGTGCAGCCAATACCATCAATTCATGAGCAAAGTTAAATGATTATTGTTTTATGCCACTGGGGTTTTGTGATGATGTAGTATGCAGCAGTAGCGAACTGGTAAGAATACTTCACTGCTACTGTGGGAATTAAAGAAGACAATATGCATGAATAAGTTTTGCAAAGTATAAAGTAGTATGAGTTTTAAAAATCCTTAAGATCAATGGGTTATTGGAGATGAGGACACAGAAGAGTGATGTAGAGTTTAGTCATTTCCAGCATCCATTCAAGTGTCCAAGTTATTCTGTTTATTTTTTTGTTGTAGTTGTTCAAATACGTGTGATATATATTTATTGTGTCCACCTATTTATTTGTCCAAATAGCTTAGAAGTGCTTATCACTTATAAATAATTATTTAAAAAAAGGAAATAGTAGAGAAAGTCCATGCTAAAAACTAGATATGGAAGAAAATTGCCAGATTGTGTTCATTTTTTTTTTTGGCAGGGTACAGTGAACTTTAGTGATGGTGCACAACAAAGCAGGGCTCCCTAGGCCCCTCCCCTTCTCCAGGGGGTCTGAGATGGAAAAGATGGTCAGGAGAGTCTGAGTGTGTCAGGGGTTCGATCTGGGGCAGGGACTCCCCAGCAGTGGAGGGCCTCTCTTCCTCTTGCTGGGGCTGGTGGTCCAGGGGACTCGTACTCCTTGGATGCCATGTGGACCATAAGGTCCACCATCATGTTGCTGTAGCCAAATTCATTGTCATACCAGGAAACAAGCTTGACAGAGTGGTCATTGAGGGCAATGCCAGCCCCAGCATCAAAGGTGGAGGAGTGGGTGTCACTGTTAAAGTCGCAGGAGACCACCTGGTCCTCAGTATAGGCCAGGATGCCCTTGAGGGG